AGAAGTTAGTATATGATAAAGGAGACCTCCAACAAAAGCAGGAAGAAGGGGAGGATTCAAACATTTGTCAGGGTCCTTGGTTAGTGATTTGGAAATGGATCAATTTACAACCCACATCTTGTTCCAATACAGAAAAAACAAAAAACAAAAACAAAAACTCAACCCAAACATCAGATTAAGAACTTTCTGTTCTAATTAGAGAGGAAGCAAACAAACAGACTAAAAAGTTTTCCATTCAACAGGGTAAGTTCTAGTGCAGAAGGAGGCATAAAGTGTGTGACTACACATAAAGAGGAGTCCTAACTTTGCCTATAGGAGTCAAGAAAGCCTTCAGCATGGAGCAGGCGTTTATAGTGGGTTTTGGGGGATGAGTAGGAGTTTGGTGGGGATAAGCAGAGTGCACACACAAGAGTAAGGTCATAAAAGGGCTGATGAATGAATGTAGGAATGTTAGTAGATGGACAGCAGCATGTCCATGGAGTTAAGGGATCTGCTGGCCTGGGCCAGTTGGGAGAACAACTCTGGGTGGTTGTCAAGTATGATCCATGGACCCCTGGGGGTCCCTGAAACCCTCTGAGAGGGTCTGTGAGCTCAAACTGTTTTCACTATAATACTATGTCATCATTTGCCTTTTTCTTATGAGTGTACAGTGGGGTTTTGCAGAGGCTATGTGATGTGTGATACTGCAACAGAGAGAATGCAGAAACAAATATGAGAATCAGACTGCCTTCTGTGCACAACTGTAGCATGGTGTCACTCTTCTTACTGATTCATACTCTGGAAAATATAATTTTTATTTGGGAATGTTAACATGTAAGAGGGTTGTTATTACTATTTTAAAATGAGTTAATGTTTACTTTTAAAACACCTCATTTTTGATTTCTAATGCTGTACATATTGATAGAGGTAACCCACATAAAAGTTACTTGGGGTCCTTAATTTTTGAATATAAGAGGGTCCTGAGACTAAATCCTCTGGCTTAGATTCTGACGAAAAGTCATCAGAAGAACCACTACGGCTAGTCTGTGAGAAGTTTTTCTGAGGGTACTTCCTCCGCTATTGCTTGGAGCCTCAGGGTCTGTTCTGGCTCTGGCAGGTCCCCACTGAGGTTAGAAGGTGGTGGGACCTGGAGATGGTGTTGAAAAGGTGGGTGGATTAACATGGCCACAAATTCTCTGCAAGTTCCTTGCTTTAAAAAGTAGCATCCGTTTCCCTACTCCTTGATCTGGGTTAGTCTCTGCGATCATTAGAACAAGGCAAGTGGCATCCAAGCTCACACCCTTTGTATCTCCAAAACTTCCACGCTATGAGACCCAACTGAACAGGCATACAGCTCAACAGTCCCCAGCAGCTTCTCCATGAGAGAGTACAGGCAAGACCAGCAGATCTGCCCAGCCCGGCCGCACAATCATGAGAAATAGTAAATCATTGTTTTAAGTCACTAAGTTGGAGATGGTTTTTCAGAGTGATAGATCTTTTGTAGAGCTGGGGACCAATTAGCCAGACTCAAATGCAGAAGTTCATATTTTATCTCCTATAAATACTGCCAGGGTTCTCAATTTGGCATGACTGAAATTCAGGGCTGACAATTCTTTGTTGGCTTGGCGGGAGGGTGGGGGGAGGTTTGTGCACTGCAGTATTCTAGCAGCATCCCTAGTGTCACTAAGTGATAGCTACACCCCTCCCCCCCAAGTTGTAACCACCAAAAATGTCTCCATACATTGCCAAATGTCCCCTGGGGAATGAAGTCACCTCTGGTTTAGAACCATTGTTTTAGGCAAATGATTCTGAGAATAAAAATCACCTGGGGGCTTATTAAAAATAGATGCCAGGCTCATCCCCTAGAGATTCTGATTCACTGTGTCCAGATCACGGACCTGCAATCTGAATTTTTAAAATGCTGCAGGTACTCTTATTGGAGGAGTCTGAGAGTTGTTCCAGGAGGAATGGGGAGCCCACAGATGTCTGACCTGCTCAATTTGTGTTTCAGGACGATCATTCAGGAAGTAGCTGGAGGACAACCTGGGTGGGGTGCAGAGACAGGAATTGTATTGGAGGCTATTACCTAAATTCAGGTAAGAAATAATAAGCAGGTGTACAGGGCAGTGCGGGGGGGTGTATTTCATAGATATTTCTAAGGCCGAAAAAGTTAAATTTGTGACTAATTGGATGTTGGGAAAGGGAAGACTTAATTAAAAGGATGAGGCAAAATTAAAAACTTCTAGGCTTCAAATGATATCAGCAAGCAAGTGAAAAGAGAGGACCCACACATGAGAGAAAATATTTGCAAATTATATATCTGATAAGGGACTCGTGTTCAGAATATGTAAAGAACTCTCACAACCAAAAATTAAAAAGACAAAGAACCCAATTTAGAAATGAGCAGAGGATCTGAATAGACATTTCTCCAAAGAAGAGCCACAAAAGAGCCAATAAGCACATGAAAAGACACTCAAGGTCATTAGCCATCGGGGAGAAGCAAATCCCAACCATTTCACTCTCAGGAAGGTGGGCTCTAATCCAGAAGACAGCCCTTAACAGGTGTTGCCAAGGGTATGGAGAAAGTGGAATCCTCACTCCTTGCTTGTGGGAATGTAAAATAGCAAATCTCTTTGGAAAAGCAGTCCAGCAGTTCAAATAGTGACAAGCAGAAGCACCACATGGCCCAGCAATTACACACCTAGGTACAGACCCTAGAGAAGTGAAAATGTATGTGCCCACTAACTCTTGTAGATAAATGTTCATAGCATTATCTACCCAGCTCACCTGCCCTGAGGCCGGCCCTCTAATTGGGTCTCAGTCTGGAACGCTCTTCTCCAGGTTATCCATAGGACTATATCCTCACCTCTTGTAATTCTGTTCAAATCTCACCTTCCCAATGATGCCTATGCTGAACACCATGTTTAATACTAAAACTTCCCCCCTTCCTCGACCCTGCTCTACATTTTCTTCTTTTTTTTAAGGTTTTATTAATTTATTCATGAGAGACACGGAGAGAAAGAGAGGCAGAGACACAGGCAGAGGGAGAAGCAGGCTCCATGCAGGGAGTCTGATGTGGGACTCAATCCTGGGCTAAACCGCTGAGCCACCCAGGGATTCCCTACATTTTCTTCACTCTATACCTCTTACCATCTTCTAATTCACAACACAAATACTTATTACATGTGTCACCCATTAGAACAAAAAATGAATGAAGGCAGGCATCTTCGTTTTGTTCACTGTTTCCCATACTAATAGAAAACCATGACCCAGGGAGGTTGTGAGTATTGCTAACTGTCAAAAATGTATCTGAGTAGGGATGTGAACCGTGGCCAAAATCCTAAAATTCCATATAGTTCTACTATCTAGTGACAAGAGGACAGTGAATAGTTGAGAGAAATCCCCAGTCTGCAAAATTATTCCTAGTACTAGCAGAACCCACCAGATTGTTATAATCCACCATTCCTTCCCTTCCCAATAGTTCTTTTCATGCTATAACGGCTTCTCATTTCCCACCAAGTAAAGTCAAATACTCAGTTTGGCTGTAAAGACTTGTAACACTTGACCCTAAAACTATCTGTAGTCTCCAAGTTAACCTGGTCTCCATGATCAGACATGAGACCCTTGGGCAAAACCCCCTTCTCCTGGGTTAACCCACTGTGTGTGTGTCTGTTTTTAAAATTAAAAATGAATGCCTGTTACAAACACCCTTTGAATACCTTTCCATCCTGTGCAAACTGTCCCCCTCCTATTGCTGACGACACACTCAACTCTACACTGCATATTCCTCACCTCACAACACATCACTGTTCTTCAAACCTGGAATTCCATCTTCTGGCCTCTTTAGGAGGACAGGAAAATACAGCTTTCCTATGCACTCTCCAGTGCCAAAAGCCAGTGCAACCTCCTCCTTGAAGGCTCCTTTCTGGCCTGAATCTTCTCAACTGTTAGGCAGTTCTTATCCCCAAGCCCTATTTGCAAAAGACCTACTCTCTACACTTCCAGTTCCACCAAAATCCCTCTCCACTGGGGTTAGGACACTAAGCTAGTGACTTCGAGCCTAAAATGTAAAGGGGAACCAAAAAGCTCAGTAATCAAGATAAGATCCTGAGACTTTAGTTTTTTTGCACATTAATGCAAAAAATCCATGGTGAGTAAAATAAAATGTCCCATCTGGAAACATACGGGACCTTTGAGGCTCCTACCTTTCGGTCCCACCCTCTCTTAAGGTCGGACTTAACGTCCTCGAACTGGTCTCGGGCCTCCCGCGCGCGCTGCACGTGAGCCGGAAGGCTGAGCTGCTCTGGGGGCACCGTTCCTACATCGCTCCGCTGGTCGGGGGTCTCGGGAGGGCGCGTGGCAGGTGTGCACAGCAGGTGTGCACACATGTGTGCATGGCACTGTGTGCATGCAGTGGTGTGTAAGCAGCTGTGCACGGCACGGTGTGCACGGGCTCAACGCTGCACGCACGTATGCAGGGCACGGTGTGTATGCAGGTGTGCACGCGCTCCCCGCTGCAGGCTGGGGCTCGGGACCCCGCGGCGGGGCGCCCCCGCAGCTCGACCCCTGCGCTCTCCAGGGTGCGCGTGGGGCCGGCTAGGAGTGCCTTCGCGCACCCCTGGCAGGTGGAGCACCGGCTTCCCCGCGCCACGCCCCGCGAGGCCGCGGAGGTCCCACCCCCACCGCCCCCTGCACGAGGTTGCAGCTCTGGCGCGCGCCCAGCCCAGGAAGCGCCCGCCGCGCGGCAAGGGCGGGGGAGGGCTCCTCGCTTGCAGCCCCGCCCCCGCACGGGGCTCCGGCCAATCAGCGCGCGCCGCGGGCCCCGGCCCCGCCCCCCCCCCGCGGCCCCGCCCCGCGGCCCCGCCCGGCCGGTAATAATTAGGTGGCGGGCGGGGCGCCGCGTCAGCGCCGGGCGCCGGCCAATCGCGGAGCTCGGGCGCCGCCGCGTCACAGGCCGAACAACCAAACAGAAAAGTTTAATAAACAGCGGACGGAGGGCCGGCGGCGGCGGCGGCGGCGGGGCCGGAGCGAGCGGGGGTTCGGCGGCCTTACCTGTCCCCACTCTCCGGCGGCGACCGGCGGCGGGCAGCGCGGCGGGCGGGGAGGGCCGCCGCCAGGTGAGCAGCGGGCACCGGGGCGGGCCGCTCCCTTCCCCCACCGGCTGAGGCGCGGCCCCGGCGCTCCCGGGCGGAAGCCAGGGCGGCGGGCGGCGGGCGGGGCAGGGCGGGGCAGGGCGGGCCGGGGGTCCGCGAGCAGTTGGTGGGAGGGGGTGGGCCGCGTGGAGCGGGCGTGCACCTGCTGCGGCCGGGGCGGGGGGCGGTCCCTCCTGTCACGGCCCGTTCCTGCGGCCCCGGGGTGCGGGGGGGGGGGCGTTCCGAGCGGCGGCGGGGCGGGTCCGGGGGTCCCGAGCTGCGCCGTGGGGGGGGGGGGGTCCGGGGGTCCCGAGCGGCCCGGGGGGCGGGGTAGGCGTTGGGGAGAGCGGGGGCCCCGGGGGCCCCGGTGGGGGTGGGCGTGGCAGGGAGGTCCCGAGCGCCCCCTCTGCTGCAGCCGCACCTCCCGGGCCGTGCGGGGGGCGGAGCGCCGGGGAGGGGGCGCCCCGGGACCCGGTGCGCGCTAGAAGTTGTGGGGCGGTCGGTGCCCCACGGTGCGCTGGCCGAGATGCCCTGAGACAGGGTTCCGGTAGGAGTTTGCTTTTCCCGAGGCTAGGCGGGGAGTCACAGGCCAGAACTTTAGGGGGAAATGCTCTTTTTCTGCAAAAGTTGCACGTTTAGGTTTATGCAACAGGTTGTGTCTCAGCTGTTTCTTGCACGTTTTACGCAGTAGTCCGGGAGGGCAGGGGTGCCGGGGGCACCTGAGGAGGGGTGGGGCGGAGGGGGGACCGTGCCCTGGGACTGTGGGTCCGCGGACGCCGCCTTCCCTGCGGGCGGTTGGTGGTGAAGCCTCCTTTCGCCGGGCGAGCGACTCGGGGCCCCAGGGGCGCACTCGACCTAGGTGGTAGGACGGGAGAGGGACCGGCCAGGAACCCGCACCTGCTGGCCGGTGGCCTGTCTGTCCTGTGCCCTCCTCCCGGGCAGGTCAGGCCCGCCCGTAGTGTGTTCATCGTGGTTTCCTCACCGGGTTCGTGTGTCCACCACGTGCTGTCGGGCCTTTCTCCGCAGCTTTGTAGGGTCAGCGGGGCCCTGCTCACAGCCCGCGGTCGGTGGGCCCCTGGAAGTCACGGTACCTTGTTTGGCGTCAGCACCTGGCTCCCGCTGCGCACCTGCAGACGGTGTAGCCCGTACTCAGGAGTGGAGGGCGTGGGGGGAGCCGAGGGACTTTGTCACGGAGGATCCGGAGCCGGAGGACTACTTCCGAGTTTTGAACATGTGAATGAGAAACCGAGATCCCCTTCCGTGTGTGTGTGTGTGTGTGTGTGTGTGTATGTGTGTGTGTGTGATGGATCTCCTCTGCAATCACCGGGGAGAGGTCAGGCTCTGTTGGCTACCTACTTTTTCAATGCTAAAGTAATATAAGTACAAAAACCACTTGATTGTGTGTAAAGTAAGTCACCGTGTGTGCTGGCCACTCTGTGTCACCTCTGGCCACTCACCTAAGGCTCTCTTCTCCCTTAGCACGTCCTGCAGGAGAAACCTGCCCTAATCGTCCTTCCAGCTCTGCACGGTGGGCAGAGGGAAGCCCCATTCGATGGCAGGGCCTCTTAAGGAACAGGATTGGGACAGAGGTGCTCTCTGTGCAGTGATGTTGACGGTGTCCTCGGGGGCACTCTGGGAGGACTGTGCTGGCCGCTAGGATAGGCTCACCACACATTGAGGGACTTGACTTCTTAGCCTTGGGTGTGTGCCCTGAAGGATACTTCTAAGGCCATGTGTTATTTACCACGCTCAGCAACGCACTGACAGAGTAGGAGCGGTATTAATTTCCGGAAAGTGGTGTGTAAGTAATAGGAGTTTATATATAGCTTCAAATAAGTTGTCTTTAAAGGCACAGGAGTAGAGGTGCTTTGTTGTTGTAACCAGCCTGTGTGGCTTGCTGACAAATAGGGTGTTTTTTTGTTTGTTTTTGTAGGGCTGTTTTATTTATCCTGTTGAAAAGCTTTTTAAAAAAAAGTCATTTTTGTATTAAGGGCAATGTGTTTTTTGGTGTCTTTCCTCCCCAGCTTTCAGAAGGAATAGAAAGTTACAAAGAATAACCGTTGCTAAAGTTTTGGCACGTATACCCCTAGTCTGTGTGTGTATATTCTACACAATTGGAAGTGGGATTCTGAACAATACTGGGTTGCGTCTACTTTCAAAGCTTATCCCAAATGCAATCCATCTCAGCACCTTTGTTGTACACAGGACAGTAACAGTAGTCATCTAACTGGTGTCCCTGCTTCAGTTCTGGCTCTCCTGTGGGGGAACCATCATTTAAATATGTAAGGTAGAGAGGCTCAACATCCTCCAATGACTTTTCAATACACAAAATAAAATCGAAACTCTTTACTATGGCACCTATACCCCAGACCAGCAATCTCTCATGGAAATAGAATGGGAGCCACATAAAGTAAAGTTTTCTGATAACCCGGGGCGCCTGTGTAGCTCAGTGGTTAAGCATCTGACTCTTGATTTTGGCTCAGGTCAGAACCTCAGGGTTGTGAGATGGAGCCCTGTGTAGGGCTCTGTGCTCAGCGGGGAGTCTGCTTGAGGTTCTCTCCCTCTGCCTCCCTGTCTGCACTCCCTACTGCTTGCTCTTGCTCTTAAATAAATAAATAAATAAATAAATAAATAAATAAATAAATAAATAAAATCTTGAAATAAATCTTTAAAATTTTCTGATAGCCAAATTAAAAAGAGAAACAGGTGAGATATATTTTACTTATCCCAAGATACTATGATTTTAATAAGTAATTAGCATAAGAAATAATTAATAGGATATTTTACTAAACTTTTCAGACTGTCTTCAAAATCCACTGTATATTTTCCATGTAAAGTGCATGGGGGACTGGCCTTGTTTCAAGTGCTGATTAGCCAGCCACACATGACTGGTAGCTGTGGGTTGACTATCCAGCCTTGCCAACTTTCCCCCTGATTCATGCACCTCCAGCTATACTGGCCTTCTTGGGATTCTTCAGCATGCCACGCTTACTTCCTTAAAATTGTTGTGTTTTTCTGCCTGGCACACTTCAATCTTGTATCTGCTCAAATGTCACTGCTTCAGGCATGCCTCCACACACCATGTTCCCTGACTGTATGACTCTGCATCATGTCCTTATGGAACCTGTCATCCGAAGTGGTTTTGGTTATTGTCTGTCACTTGAGGGCAGAAGTTAGGACTCTAAGGTACACAAGCATTTCATCTTACTGTGATTAGTCGCCAGTCCTGTGGGGCTTGTTGCTTTGTCCTTTTGTCACTGGAGAGAGTGGTAAGGAACTAAGTCTCCACATATTCCTCATTTCTTTGGGATTCAGTCTGTCTTACAATGGCTGAGTAAAAGCACATGAACTTTTTTTTTGTGTCTTTTTATAAATATTGCCAAATCTTATTGTAAAATGTTGCTGAGATTATAATATAAAGTTGACTGAACCAGTATAAAGTTTGATGAAAAATGTGAGAGTACAAATTTTCTCTGTATCTTTGCCAACACTTGAATATTTTCTTTCCTGCCTGCCTTCTTCATAAGACTCTTTATATATTTCTTAGAATAATTATGATGACAAATGGAGAGAAAGGTATTATGTCTTCTAATTTGTTTTTGCTTATTTGGAGTGATGTTCTATGTTCAAAATACCCTTTTTATTCTTTTATATAATTAGGATAGCAATCCTTTGTCACATCCCACAGATACTTTCCCTGGCTCTTCGTTTGCCTTTTACTTGCTTATGGTATTTTGTTTTTTTAACTTCATTTTTTTTAAATTTTTTTTAATTTATTTATGATAGTCACACAGAGAGAGAGAGCGAGAGAGAGAGAGAGAGGCAGACACAGGCAGAGGGAGAAGCAGGCTCCATGCACCGGGAGCCCGACGTGGGATTCGATCCCGGGTCTCCAGGATCGCACCCTGGGCCAAAGGCAGGCGCTAAACCGCTGCGCCACCCAGGGATCCCTGTTTTTTTAACTTCAAAGAGTTTTTACCTTTTAAGAAATTTAAGTTAGTAGTTTCTTTTTATGGCTCCTACTTCACTCTCATGTTTAATGGGTACTCCTGCCCAGATAACTCTTCTAGTTCTTCTATGGTTTCATTCTCATACGTATCTCTCTCTGTTTATCTGGGATTTGTTTTGATGTATAAGTCAAGAGAAATAACTTCTTTATTTTTCCTTAATAGTTATTTTAGCCTGATTAACAAAAATCTTGTTGCCTTGAAATAAAACTGCCTTCATTATATACTAAAAGCATATATATACTTGGTTCTTTTTAGCTTTTATACAGTGTTCATAATTTGATGCTAGTGCATTGTTTTAGTAACTGGGAATGTGTTTTCGTTTTGTCTCCCTCCCTTTTCCTCCCCAAATTTTTGACTGTTGCTTTGTTCTCTAGTTTTTTAGTTGATTCCTTAGAGTCTGCAGGTGGTTTGGGGTTTTGAAATTTTAAATTAAGTTACTGTATTTCTACACTTTGTTTTATTTTCTATGATAAAAATATTTTGTGCCATTAAATTGTCCTTTGCATGTAGTTTAGTTATGTTCCTTAAATGTTGATGTGTAAAAATATCTGTATTTAGTGACTCTTCCATCGTCACTGCAGTTGCTTCTCGCTGCCTGTTGAGGCCTTCACCCAGTTCAGAACCTCTGGGAAAGCTACGCTATTCATAGACCGATGAATAAGGAGTTTTCAGATGTTGACCAGTGCTAGCAAGGAAAGAAATCGGGTGTGCCAGCAGAGATTGGAAGGTGCTAACTCCACGTCCTAAGAATGTCTCTGTGAGGATGTAACATTTAGGAAGATTAATGGTGGAACCAAGGTTTGTTTGGGGAGTTTCTTTGGTTTCCCTATCTATCAGAACATTAAAACATAGTATCAAGGGCACACTGAATTTCTTTTGCAAGATTTTTTTTGTAAAAATTGCCTTGTAAACAGTTATGAGCCCATAGCTTGTCCTGTAGAAAATTTGCAACTGTGATTGTGAGGTCTGAGATCA